GTGAAAATAACCTTGTTTAGTGAAAAAAATGGTTTAGTGATAATAACATGATTTAAAGATGATAACATGATTTAAAGATGATAACATGGAGTAGTGATGATATCTCAGTTTACTGATAATAAGCAGATTTAGCGGTAATAATGGTGAAGTCAGATGTGTTTCCTGGCGCTCCGTACCATACCAGTGAGACTTTAAAAGGCAGAAACCACAATTCATGAGTTCTGCCTGACCCAAACTGTGGCCTTGATGCCGGACTTATCTCAACTCCTCCTGGCATGTTTTGAAAATAACAAAGATGCTTTGACTGTTTCCTCACCACTCCAAGGCCGTGGACATGTGTGACAGAACCTCAATTGAGCTCAAGATGAACGTCGCCTCTTATCTGAACAATGGCTGGGGGGGGGGGGGGGGGGGGCTCTGGACTATGCTACGACTTTCCCTTAAAAATTCAATGTCTTCATCGCCTATATGTAAATGTATAACGTCTGTTTATGTTGCTTTGCTGTGGTAGGTTTTTTGATGCCTCAAATCGTGCCCTGTTTAGGACACGCATTTAGAGATTTTTTTTTTTTTATACCAACTCTCCTCATGTTTTCTTTCCTTTTCTCATCTAAGCAAAATATTATTCTGAAGAAGAATAAAAGGGCCGCGCTTTTTTATAGTAGCAGCTTCGTGCACTCTGTCCATCATTCGGACGACTGTACGAACATGTTCTCGTTGTATCTCGGTGCAATGTTAATAAAGTTTATTCTGATTCTGATAACACGGTTTAGTGAAAATAACCCTGTTTAGTGGAATAAACCTGTTTTAGTGATAAAAACTTGGTTTAGTGGTAATAACCCAGTTTAGTGATAACACCATGGTTAAACCTTCTCCTGGAGCCTGATCATGACTAGAAAAATGATTTTTAACAGAATCAAATGACTCAAGACTGTTCTTCTGAAACAGGACTCTCAGATTTTTACTGTTTATTTCAAGCACTCAACCTGAGACAGCACTGCAGCCATGTACTGTATATACTTGTACTTGGAAAGGCTTTGTTTAGATTAGGTAAACAACATTTCATCTCTAAGCAGGTATGTCTTTTCATGAAGGAGTTTACGAGCACTTTCTTCTTCACAACCGTGCGAGCAAGTGAAGCCTTTAATGTGCAATTGCCATCTAACACAAACATGATTATGTCAGACGCCACATGTACCATTCTCTGTTCAAAAGACTTGTGTAATAATATATTTTAATGTACTTTATCAAAGACTTCGTTTCGAGTGTGTGCCCTCACAAACACAGTGTTTGATATTCTGAACATATAATGGGAAGAAGCGGAGTTTGCAGAAGGACATGCAGATCAGCAGACTTGTGATCACAAAGTTGTCACCTGACTAATGATTACAGAACCTCCTCGCTGATCTGTGTGTCTGCCTGTGATCTGAGTACCTGAACCCTCAGCGTCAAGTCGTGGTGTTTTCCTGAGGTGAGCCACTCTGCCCTGGTTTGGTTTCGTAACCACGCTCCTGTGAACTCATGTGACTCCCATTCTGGTTTGGAACGTCCTGGCTCTAACGGATCGAGCTGACAGCTGTAATTCTCACTGCGGTTCGAAAGCAATTCACAAATATGATCCATCACTCTTGGTGTTCATGTTGCAACCTCCTGACTCAGAGTGGAGTCATGTGCTCAGTGTGTCAGTTTGATTCCTGTCAATCCTATTGATTGATTGATGTTTTGCTTGCAGTGATCTGTCCCACCCTCACACTGTAAATAAAGGCTAATGGAAGTCGCCTCCAGGCAGATGACATCAGAGTGTGCTACCTTTGTTTGTTGGTGACATTGTCTCTCTCTGAATAAAGGAGTGGTGTAAATGTACAGCTTATATTGCAGACACCAAACACTGATGAGGGGGCCCGTAACGCATACTGAATATGTCTAACTTAGTTGTTATGGAACCAAACACCTGACAATTAATGGCTGTGATCAGAGAATAAAAGGATCACACTGTTGTGCACGCTCACAGATCCCTAATAATTAGAATGGCTCTGTTTCTTGTGGAATTTTTTTTGTAACAGTAAAGTCATGGTGATGTTGATATTTAATCACTTTCCCTCCTTTATGAGCTGTTTGTTGTAAAATCCTGAGCACAGCAGCTCTCTGGCATCTGACAATCACTGACTTTCAAGCTGAGCACTAATGCAAGAAGGCTGCTCCAACCTGAATGACTTGCTTTATTGCCCTCAGGCACAATCACACAGTTTTTATTTATCCACAGGAATGAGTGCATGAGAACAAAACGAACACCAGCTTTGAATCTTACAAACATGTGTCAGCTATATATTAAACACCTGAGTGTAAAGCATGACAAATAAATACATTTTGATTTCAACATAATTTACTGTTTTATTTTGGTCTGATTCGTTTTTGGTGTTTTGCAAGTAAACATTAATATGGCACCTTTTTGAAAGGGCTTTTTTATTTGTGTTTGAATGCAACTCACTTTGCACATTTTTCTAAAATTGTAATGTTTTAGTTTAGGTTAGTTTTTGTTCCATTTGGAATATGGAGAAAACACTTGTTAAAGGGCAGCTCGCACCAGCACTAAAATAAATGGGGGGAGAAGAGCAACTTTACTAAAGTGATAAAAGCTCTCCATGTTTTCAGCAGACGGAGAAAACTCGATGAAAGAGATCGGATTTCCTGTACTTGGATTTCCTCTTTATTCGCTGGAACTTCGTTCCATTGTGTATTCATACTCCGGCATATATTAGGGCTAGATTAATTCACTAAAATCCACTGTTTATCCATTCCAAATAATATTAATAACATAATATGAAAATATAAATTGAAATATATCCGAACAACGCGAGTTTAAGAGAAACATTTGTGGTTTAGGATTCTAGTTTAGTGGAAGGATATTGGAATACTGAGGGTGTTCTTCGGTCTATATAAATGGGCCGCCATCTTAGAATTCCCAGACTCCGCTGTTCGGTCTGTGTCGGTGTCCTCATCGAGAGTGGCTGCGGAGGGAGCGAAGGAGAGCTCCCCGCTGACGCTTGTCTGTACGTTTTCTTCGAGATTTTTTTTTTAATTTTTTACCTTTTCAAAGTGTTTTTTATTCCTCAAAACTCAAGTGGAAGGATTAATTGCATCGACAAGGGTAGGCTTCAACATTTAAACTATTGACTTTTTAAAGTTTGTAAGTTTTTTTTTTCGTGTCGGGGCTGTGCAGTAAAGCCAGCGGAGGCGGAGTGATTGTTGTGTCCAGGCCGGGGATGGTCGCTGCTGCTGCGGCATGTGCGATGTGCCAGCCACCGCCTCACGGGAACGAGCTCTTCCACCCAGCGATACTGGGAGTTTGACTTGGGTCATGTTCGTACGTATTTTTCGTCAATAGCGAGACATTTAATTGAGATCTAACATTTGTAGCGTTAATCAAAAAACGAAAAGAACCGGAGTTGGAAGTACACTGCTGTCGAGTCCGAGCTTTTATTTTTATTTTTACTCTAACCTGGACGAGTTCGTCCACTCACCGTCACATTCCTTTATTCTGAGTCACGTTGGAAGACGAGTTTTATCTTTTGGGTTTTTACAGTTTTATCGTGACAACAAAATATAAAGGCAAGAAAAAAAAAAACGCGAGAGGAACTATTTTTTCTTATTATTTTTTGGCGTAAGATGCTGAAACCTCCGGGAGCGTCGGTTAGCTTCGAGCTTCTTCCGCTTCTTTTCCGTTTCGTCTGAAGTTCTGTTGAAAGTTTGAGAAACCGGTTTAAACCGACCTCCTTCAAAGTTTATTTTTCACACCAGGTTTAAGTTTGAAACGTGTTTTCTTCTGGTCCTTTTAAACAAAGACCGACTAAACTCCTGCTCGGTGAGGACGACGAGGAGGAGCCACAGAGTGAAATTTGACTCGGTGGTGTTTGGGGCAAAAAAAAAAAAAAACTACAAAAATGTCGGGAGGCAGCAGCTGTGGTCTGCTCCCCTAAATGCTCCACTTTAACCTTTATGGTTCCCTTTATGACCATACTTGATTTATATGGAGGTGAATAAAGTTGCAGCTTCTTTTATGACTCATTTCAGGGACGCCAGTTGTTTATTGTTTATTATTGTCTTTGCATCAGTTCATTAGAAGTACTCTTTATTTTGTCTTGCATCATGTTTAGATCGTTAATAATTTGTTCCTGCGTGTGTCTGCAGCTGAGAAGTCCCCGACCATAAGGCATCACGGAACAGAAAAAAACCTTGCTGTCTAGTCAGCATCATTTTCTGAAAATCAGCCGGAAACACAAGGTTTACATGAGACTGTGCTGGTGTGATTTCAGGCAATACACAAGAAAAACAATCTTTCCATTGGTGTGTTGTTACGGGAACCCAGACTGGTGTCTGGTTTGGAAAGAGATATCTTTTTTTCGTGTATGTGTGATTTTTATTTTTTAAATTGGTTAATTAGACCCAACAGAGTCACCTTCCTGTGTGTTTCCTGTTTCCTCACAGATGTGTAACATTTTTCTGCAGCGGCTGCAGGAGTTTGGTTCATGGTGGTGTTGGCAGGCAGCTCTGGGCTCTGCTGATCCTGCACATTACCGCCCGGCCTCCTGCACACCCTTTCTCTCTGCTTCGGACAGTATTTCTGCTCATTTGGGTCATTTACGCATCTGGATGTATCCCTGTGTTTTTAATGCAAGGAAGGAAATGTGCTGTGACCAAATGGAGTCTCGTTTTATTTTAAATTAGTTTCTCTGCAGCTCAGTTCGCTTTATTGTAAAAATAGATTTCTGGGTCCAGAAGAACCCATAGTTACATAAAGCTACAGATTTCTGCACAAGAATAAAGATTTATTTAGTTACTGCTTTCCCCTCCCCAAAGAACTACATGTTCTCTGGTTTATTTGAAGAGTTTGGCTTTAATTAACCAAGAGGATTTCCCCCCCCACCCCCCATTTTCAAAAGAGGGAACTGTAAGAAAACCGTGAAGTTTTATCTGTTTTCTGTCCGTTTGTTTAGAGACCAAACCACGTAGCTCCACAGACCCTGAACTGATTCAGGACACAGATTTTCAGTATTTGAACGTGTTGAGCTTTAAATGAAACTGTTTGCTTGTAATACCTGACTGGATATGCCTTTTGAATTTAAGGTCCTCTGTCTACAAATGTATAGAGCTAAGATTTTATGTCCACTTTAGGAACATCTGTATCTGTTTTAATAGTTAAATGCAGCCTCACTCCATCTGGTCTGTTTTTGAGGCCTGGTTTTGTTCTGTATGTCGATGGTTTTGGGTATAAATAGTTGAGCCTGTGTTTAGAGCGATATTCTATTTAAGTGTTTACATGAGCAGTGGGCCTGTACTCCCAACTTGATGCAGGTGTGTAATACCTGTTTAATGGATGGATCTAAGCACAGCAGAAGCAGATGTTTTCTTTTGCTCCGTTGCACAGGGTGGTTTTTATTGCGGGAGCTGGCGTGTCACGCAAAACACATCTGTTTTCAGTTGCACGGCACCAGGCACAACTCTGCACGTTGGATTTCACATCTGGCTTCAAAGAAACTGGTCGCTCAGATTTTTGTGGCCAGGCTGCTAGTTGGACGCCCAAAGCCTCTGAGCAACAAGTTTGTCGTTCGACCCGAGTTTACCTTTCAACTTATCATTTTTTGTTGTTGTCGTCTCGTTTGGAGACCAAATTCTTACGTTTGATCAAAAAAAGCGAAGGAAAAAAAACCCACTTAACAACCAATGTGAATCGTAAATGGTTCCACTGCGTGCTTTGATTGCACGTTTGGTTCGTATGAAGGCGTGCGAGACATGTGGCTCCCATTAGGACTGTGCTGAGTTAGGCCATGAGTGCAGCAGGGATGGCGTGTGAACAGCAAATTAGTTTGTGGTTTAAAGCAGCCATGATTCAAGTTTGTGTGTTAGTCACTTGGATGATGGGGCTCTCGTTAGACGTCTGTGCATGTTGGCAACAGAAAACTTGAGACTTCTTCACGTGTCATGGATCTGTCTTTGTATGGAGGACAATAAGTGCCATTTTTTATTCAACACAACTTGGAGATGATTTCAGATGGAGAATGATTCATAGTTTAAGCAACTGAATTATTATTTTTTTAAATTAAAGGTTGGAAAAAGCCTCTATGGTCCAACAAAGTTCAGTCAGGTCCTCTGGACGGTTTCTTTTTTGTTGAGACGTTTCGTTCGTCATCCAAAGGACTTCATCAGTCCAAGGAGCTACAAATAAACTGAGCCCCACAAGAAGCACACTCCCATAGTGGACCAACCAGACCTCTAAAGTAGTGTTCTCGTTAGACATTAATATATATATTTTATTTCTAAGACCATCTGATCTAGAGCAAGTAGAGTAAACGCACCAAAAAGTGTTTTCGTGATCAGAACTTAATATTCTTTATAATCGTGAATGGTTTTGGTTAAGCCCTACTTTTTCATGATGTAAATAGAAGCAAAGCTAAAGCATGTTAGTGGATTACGGCCTGGAATAAACTTGCTATTGTCAAAGTAGAAAAAAAAGTAGTGCAAACATTAGGCTGTTAAAATGTGCCACATTATAATTGTTTTACTTCCCTAAAACAAACTTGGAGCTCAAACTGGATTTCAAAATGTATTTGTTTACCACCATCACTGCAAAATGTAATGCCGTCTTTTATTTCTGAGAAAATAATTTCAGTCCTGGATCCGTTCCATTTCTACTGAGCTACAGGGTAAATGTGGCAAATAGGTTTGCTAACATTTGTCAATCCTTCACATGACTGTTTTTAGTATCAGCAAACACAGCTGCAGTCCCATTTGTGTTGTGTTGAACTTTGACCCTGATTTATGTGGCTGAAAGAGTCGGCACCAGACAGGACCCCCCAAAAAACTCATTTTATTCAAAATGCACATTATGGTTCAGAGTGATGGCGTGTTTAATTAATCTGAAACCAATAAGACCCTTTTCATTATGTTAGTGTTGAATTTGTATTTATCCAATAAACGTAGAATCACCTTGTTGTTTGTGACACTTCTCTAACTTCTCATCACTCTTCTATGGGGTTATTTGATTACCCTAAAGTATGACTTCATTTCCCACAATTCAGACTGGGTTTTAAATTTAAAGAAGCATCTTAATGATTCTTGGAAAAACTAAAAATTAAAAAAAAAACCCTATCGTCCATCTATCCATCATCTTTACCCGCTTCTTCCTTTCTGAGTCGTCGGGGTCACTGCTGCCCATGTCCAGCCACCACTGCGAGAGGCAGGGGACACCCAGGACAGGTCTCCAGTCCATCACAGGGACACAGAGAGACAAACGAGACAAACAACCATTCACTCTCACCTAGGAACAATTTAGAGTTACCAATCAGTCTATCATGCATGTTTTTGGTGTGTGGGAGGAAACTGGAGTACCCGGAGAAAACCCGCGCGTGCACGGAGAGAACATGCAAACTCCACCCAGAAAGGCCCCCGGACCAGGATTTGAGCCGAGGCAACCTCCTCGCTGAGAGGCAGCAGGTCTACTAACTGCACCACTGTGCTGCCCAATAAACCAATAAAATGAGACTTATTTATTTAAAACTACGCTTTTTAAAAATAATGTTCAATTTAAAGGGTTTGGCATCATTCATTGCCAAACATGCATCATTGCTGCAACGTTCAATTAAATTCACTCAGCAAAGTCTCTTTTGGCCCGAAACATGCTGTTATGGGGAAAACACAAATTGATTACAGTTGAGATGTTTTGTGTTTACGTATTTTGGTGTTGGCCTGTTTCCATACCAGTCCTCTGTCAGCTGTTAACATACAGCGTGTTAGCTACCAAGCTGACGACGGTTTCAGGATTTATTTCAGGATGTTTTAGGATTTAAGAACTGAGCTAAGAGCTATAAAAGATCGCCTTTCAGTATGTTACACTTTAAATGCTCAGTTTGAAAGTTAATTTTCTGATGAAAGTGCTACAGTTGTTTCTCAGTTGTGCATTATTACCATGAATGAAAAATAATTTAAAATAAAGAAAATGCATTAAAATATCAACAAAAAAGTTTAAATTGTGTCATCTGGACCAGTTTCTTTACGTGAGAAACGTTTCTTCCCCTCGACATTTCTGACAAAGAAACTGGTCCAGATGACACAGTTTAACCTTTTTTGTTGATATCTACCTGGATGCCTACAACCCATCCATCCATTATCTTTAGGGATGCACAATATTATCGGCATGGTATCGTAGCGTTAAAATTCAATATCGCACATAGGCCATTCCATTAAAATAATTTGCCGATATAAAAGGCACTGTTGTTTTCTGCAGCGGCAGCACAACGTAATAACATTGCAGCGCAACACGATGAAAATTCAACACGAAGTAAAATTCAAAATGTCGGCGGTGTAAAAGTTTTTCGTTTTTTTCGTTGGTGAGGATGTCGGATTCCGAAGATTTATGGACTACGTTGAGTCTCGCTACATCGTCCCCAGTCGGAGCTATTTTTCCGACGTAACGTTACCAGAGTTACAAGCCGTCCGTTCTGACGTCGTTGACAAGCTAATAGCCGATAGCACGACTTGTTGGGTGAGTTTTACCACAGACATTTGGACGTCGTGTAGCCCCGTTAGCATGATTAGTCTTACAGCACAATGGATGGACAGAAACTTTGAATTAAAAAAGTCTGTCCTTCATGCACAGGAGTGCAGAGGATCCCACACTGCAGCTAGGAACCTGGAACAAGCCTCTGCAAGTGACTAATGCTAATAAATAACATTTAATACTTTTCATTTAAAGTGCTATGCATATCATATGGCTGTTACTGAATATATGTCACCAGCTCTTACAGCTGTTGCACAATTTTTGTAGCAAATAAGCCTAAATAAGAGGGCTATGTTCTGACAAAGGAACTTAAGTAAAATATCGGTATCGTCATCGGATATCGGCAAAAAATCCAATATTGTGCATCACTAATTATCTTTACCAGCTTCTTCCTTTTGGGTCGCGGGGGTCACTGGTGCCCATGTCCAGCTATCACCGTGCGAGAGGCAGGGGACACCCTGGACAGGTCTCCAGTCCATCACAGGGACACATAGAGACAAATGAGACAAACATTCTCTCTCTCACTCACATCTAGGGACAATTTAGAGTTAACATGCATCTTTTTGGTCTGTGGGAGGAAACTGGAGTACCCGGAGAAAACCCATGGATGCACGGAGAGAACATGCAAACTGCACCCAGAAAGGCCCCCGGACCGGGATTTGAACCAAGGACCTGCTCGCTGAGAGGCAGCAGCTCTACCAGTTCAGTTGTGCCACCATGCTGCCCAGCTTACGACCCTTTTTCATATTTTTTTCCCATAAAAATATGTTTGTTTGATATATTTCAATTTATGTTAGTACAGTCCGCTTATGCATGACTGTATTCCTTCAGTCCATGTCAGAACATTTAAAAGACCAAAGAGAAATATGGCAGAAGATGTAAACTTGATTCAGCCTAATTTTAATTTTCAGGTCTCTCTTGTAAATGAGTCTTCGAGGCTCAATGGGATTTACCTGTCTAAATAAAGGTTGAATGATAATTAAACTCCAGATGCAGCAGTTCAGACTCCATGTAGCAGCTGTGATTGTAGCTGGGTGTGTTCCCTGCAGGAAGTCCATCAAGTCTCGCCTATTGTCTTATTAACTGTTCTATTCCCTCTCAGCAGTGAAACATATCCTGGCTCCTGTGATTGAAGTCCATCAAGTTTTTATTCCTATTAAATTTATTTTGGAATGAATAACATGCTTTTGAAAAGCTTTAATGGAAGAATTTAAACTCTAAACCCGTCCTTTTTGTTTTAGCAGAGGTCTTTGTCAGCATTTTACCCCTTTTCTGTTTTTATTTGTCATAATGCTTTCGAATATAAACTGGAGACGTAAAAACTTTCTTTCGGTTGACTTTTTTCCTCTTAAATTAACGTCCCCTGGCTTTCTTTACCTCGCCTGCCAGTAGCAGATATTTACTTTTG